CCCTCGTACCCATCCAGGGCTTTGGTTACAGGCACTGAAGCCGCTGATGTCAGCGGGCCTGCGGCCGCCCCTCCAAGGTGTCTGTGGCCTGCCACCAGAGCAGCGGGTGGGGCGGCCTCCTGCCTGAGCCTGCTCATGTTTTAAGTGGAGACTGTGCTCTGGCGGCTGAGGGTAATTAAGGGGCTGCGTCCTTCAAGACTGGTCTGTGCATGTGCTTCTCACGGGGCTGGTGGCCCAGGCGGGGCTGCCTTGTGAGTCAGCTGCTCAGTGAGATGTGAAGAGCTGGGGCCAAGCAGGGCCTTCTGTTGGCAGCAGCAGAGGCCTGGGACTGGAACGCCAAAACCCTCTGAGGTGGAGACAGGGGCCGGTGGGGGTCATGCCATCTACAGGGTTGTCCCAGGGACTCTGACCTCCTGCCACCAGCCACAAACTCTGCTCCAGGGTGTCCACCGCCCTGGCTGTTCCTCCTCCGGTCTGCGTCCCTCTGTCCCTCTCTTCCTTCTCTTCATCCTCCCTTTGGTCCTTGTTCAGCAAGTCCCACTCCCTGGCCTCAGCATCCCGATCCTCCCACCCCTTGCCTTTGCTGGGGCTTTTCCAGGCTACTCCTGCTGCCTCGTCATTTTGTGGCTGGGATGGCGCCAGGAGTTCAAATAGAGTGCCCTCTGCCCCCACACTCATATCCACCCGGGGCCTCAGAATGTGACCTTGTTTAGAAATAGGGCTTTTGCAGATGCCATCAAATTGAGATGAGGTCATGCTGGATCAGGATGGGCCCCTGATTCAATAAAACGGCTGCCTTTTTTTTTGAGGCTGACTCACCCTGTCGCCCAGGCTGGAGGGCAGTGGTGCGGTCCCAGTCATCGCAACCTCCGCCTTCTGGGTTCAAGCAAATCTTGTGCCTCAGCCTCCCAAGTAGCTGGGACTACAGGCATGTGCCACCACACTGGCTAATTTTTGTGTTTTTAGTAGAGACATGTTTCACCATGTTGGCCAGGCTGGTCTGGAACTCCTGACCTCAGGTGATATGACCCCCTCGGCCTCCCAAAGTGCTGGGTGTACAGGTGAGCCACCGCGCCAGCCAAAACTAGTGTCTTTCCAAGAAGAGAATATGGTGGACAGAGAGGGAAGAAGTCCAAATGAGGACCAAGGCTGAGATGGGAGGGACACGGCCACAGCTGAGGTGTACCTCGGGCTGCTGGCAGCCACTGGAAGCCAAAGGGGCAGGAAGGATTTGACCCCAGATCTTCAAGGTAAGCCTGGCCCTGCTGCCACCTGGATTTTGGAGTCTGGCCTCCAGGAGCCAGAGAGAATAACTTTCCATTGTTGAAAGCACCTAGTTTTGGTTATGTGTGAAGGCAGCCCCAGGAACTCCTACAGCCCCCTCACCTGGGCTCGGCCCTTTGAGCAACAGGAAAATCCCCTCAGCTGACCGTGCTCTTATGGACACCATCAAGCCTCAGCAGGCTGCTCCTGAAATCCAGCTGTGCAAGCAGAATCCCTGAGCTCACACGCATTTTCGGGGATAATGGTCTTCAGAATTCCAAAGGATTTATTTAAGCTGGCCAGATGAGTAGGTCACAGCTGAGCTGAAACACACACTTGACAAGTGATGCAATCAGTGCTGGACTCTTGACAGTGTTTTCGGGAGATCAGGTGGCAGCAGGGGCTGGGTGGACAGGAGCTGGCAGACAGGAGCGGGCAATTGCAGTAGCATCAACACCTGAGTCGAAGGGATGGCGTGGCGAGTGGCCACAGACCCCAGGGACCAGCTGGGGAGCAGAGCATGCCCAGCAGAAGGAGATGATGCTGGCTGAGCAGAAAGATCACCAGGTGGGGTTGCAGTGGCCTGAGCAGCCAGGAGGATGCTCTGCAGGCAGCCAGTTGTAGCTAGAGGGGAAGGCTGTGTTCGGGGTGGTCAGAAACCATCTGTACTGGTGTCCTGGCCCTGCCCTGACCACGGCAGGGACTAGTCCTGGGTCTCAGACTCCTCTCTGTAGAGGGGGCCTTATGTGGCCCACCTCCAGAGCCCGAGGAGGCTGAGTGTGGGGAGGACAGTAGCCCTTGGACTTCCCATTGCTGCTTGGTGCTGTCATTAGCAGCCTGGAATGTGCTGGAGCTATAGACTGGGTCGCTCTCTGCGGAAAGTAGAGGAACGAGACACAGAAGGTCATGGGCAGTTCCCGGGAAATATCAGAGGAAGGGCAGCCGTGGATGCAGGCCAGGGAGATGGTCCCAGAGGCCGCAGCAAACATAGGTTTAAGGAGGAGGGGAGGGTCAGGGAGACCCAAGGGTGGGTCAGAGACAGGCTCCAGGGACTGAAGGGGGAACTTGGACAGAGAAGTTTCATAGACAGAAAAGAGCAGACAAGAAACTATGGAGGGTTGGAGTTGGATTTGTGCACACACACACCCACACACACTCACAAATACACACATCAGCACATACATACACAAATACACACACCAGCACACATACAAATACACACACACCAGCTCACACACACACAAAGACACACCAGCACACACACACAAATACACACACCAGCACACACATGCAAATACACACACCAGCACACACATACAAATACACACACACCAGCATGCACACACAAATACACACACCAGCACACACAAACACAGATACACAAATACACAAGCACACACATACAAATACATACACACCAGCACACACACAAATACACACACCAGCACACACAAACACACATACACAAATACACACACACCAGCACACACATACAAATACACACACACCAGCACACACATACAAATACATACACACCAGCACACACACAAATACACACACCAGCACACACAAACACACATACACAAATACACACACACCAGCATACACATACAAATACACACACACCAGCACACACACAAATACACACACCAGCACACACAAACACACATACACAAATACACACACACCAGCACACACATACAAATACACACACACCAGCTCACACACACAAAGACACACCAGCACACACACACAATTACACACACACCAGCACACACATATAAATACACACACACCAGCACACACACACACAAAGACACACCAGCACACACACACAAATACACACACCAGCACACACACACATACAAATACACACACCAGCACACACATACGAATACCCACACACCAGCGCACACACAAATACACACACCAGCACACACGCATGCACATGAATACACATGCACACACATGAACACATACATACATGCACGTGAATACACACACATGCATGCACATAAATACACACACATACATGCACATGACTAAACATACACACATGCATACACATATGAACACGTGCATACACATGAACACACATGCACACGTACACATACACACGTGCACATACATACACATATAGGCACGTGAATACACACACACACACACACACATGCACAGGTGGCAAGACTATTGTCTATGTCACCCAGGCTGTCAGAGAGGAGAGGTGAGCGAGGGGCAGGGCTGGAGGGTGGCAGGGGCCAAGCAGAGGTGTGTGTATTTCGTGACAGAAGAGAGAAGCGGTGGAGTAAGGAAAATTGAATATGATGGAAACACTGTGGGAGGGTTTGGATGGGGGTGAGTGTCTACCTGGGAAGGTGCAGAGACGGCAGGAAGGAGGGCAGATCAGGCACCTAGCTCTGGAGTGCTGGGAGGGAGGGTCTCAGGGGTGCTCACCCTGACTGTGGTCTTTTCAGGAAAGCCAAAGACAAGCTCCTTGCACAGTGTTTGTTTCTAGGGGAGGCTGGGGCTGCACGTGGGGTCAGCAGGAGACAAGGGAAGAATGGCTGCTCAGCAGGGAAGCCCGGCCAGGCAGGGCAGACCCCACAGAGGCTGAGGCTGCCCCATCCTAACCCTGTTCCTGGTGAAGACCTGCAAGCGGCCTCCAGATGCACAAAGCAGCGGCTCAAAACAAGGGCTTGGCCTGGCCGGTGTCCAGGGGCTGAGAGCCTGCTGTTCATTCAGATGGGCTGGAAGCGGCCCAACTCCCCTTCTCTCCCTGCCTGTTTGGGGTCTCAGGATGCCGACAGAGAGGTCTGAGCCGAGCATGCCGGGGGGAGTGATCCGTCACACTCTGTAAACTGTGAGTTTGCACAGAGGTGTGTGGAGGCATGTTTCTCCATTTCCTCACCTCCGGGCAGTAGTGTCTGATGAGTTTTGTTTCTTCCTTTGCTCTTTTGTGGTTTATTCTGTTTTATTTATTTATTGTTTTGAGATGGAATCTCGCTCTGTCACCAGGCTAGAGTGCAGTGGCACTATCTCAGCTCACTGTAACCTCCACCTCCCAGGTTCAAGAGATTCTCATGCCTCAGCCTCCTGAGTAGCTGGGATTACAGGTGCCCACCACCATGCCTGGCTAATTTTTGTGTTTTTAGTCAAGACAGGGGTTTCACCATGTTTTCCAGCTGATCTCGAACTCCTGACCTCAGGTGATATGACCACCGCCTTGGTCTCCCAAAGTGCTGGGATTACAAGCATGAGTTACCACTCCAGGCCTCTTTTGTGATTTTAAATTTAGTTTATTGGCAGGGCACTGTGGCTCATGCTGGTAATCCCACCCTTGCCTCTTCTCTCTGCATCTCCCAGGCAAAGGACTGTCCACTCACAAGCAAATGTGCACTGGCAAGTCTCCTGCGACCCCTCCACCTTCTCCAGCGACTGCCCACGTCCCTCTTCTTCCTCCAGCTTCTCTGTCAATTTGCCTCGGGCGGGGTCTGTGCTTTGGGATGTGATCAGTGTTCCCCAGGCGATCCTCATGTGCAGCTGGGGGTGGGGAGAGCCACCAAGTCACAGCCTTCCAGAAATTTCACCTGTCCTTATTGCCTTAACCCATGGCAAGCTGGTAAATGATTAATAGTCAGCTCTGGGGCACGGGGACAAAGAGCCCTGATCTGTATCATTAACCAGTTTCTATGGTGTAAATATTTCCACCATGGCCACTTTCAAGCTGCCAACAGGAAGTGAACTGGCTGTCAAAACTCCTGCAAATGTAACAACCCAGGACAATCCAATCTGTGGGTGGCATCTCCCTGGAGCCTGGGTCCTCTCTCTGAGCTGGCTTACCTGTCCGTCTGGAACCTGGTTAGGCCATGGATGAAACTCAGCTTCGATGCCCATTGCAGAGGGAAGTAAAGGATGCTTGCACTGAGTGACTGCTAGTGCGGGAGTTTTACAAAGCACTGCAGTGACCTCATGTGAGACTCAAGTCTAAAGTGCAGTGGGCAAGCCCACACAGCAAGCAGCTTCTAGAGCCAGCCTCAGGCCACCCAGCCTTGAGAGCCTCTGGGAGGAGGTTTTCTAGCAGGTGAGTGGTCAGATTCTGTCTCTGTCCTGCCGGATGAATGGGCGGCGCTTGGCAGCTCTCCTTCCCCCTTGCCCACTGCGGAGAAGGCTGGAAGTTGCCTGGGAAGTAGGAAGTGATGCAGGGGCTCCTGACGTCTTCTCCGCAGGCTTGGTGGTGGACCGGTTGGGCCATCTTCCAGGAGCGGGTCACTGGCTCTATGGGTGTCGAGAGGAAAGGCGAGGTCTATTTTTTGGCCAGGATGAATCCAGCAGGTGTGGTAAGTCATGGCTGCTTACTGACTCATGAGTTGAATGGACGCTCTGGAGCTAATGGTCCTCACATATCCCGCCATCCTGATGTGGCAGAGCCTTGGCATCTTGGCAGGCCAGTTTGGTGGCATCTGGAGAACCATAGTGGAGGCTCAAGGTGCAGCCTGCTTCTCCAGCTTTTCCAGGCTTTTTGTGTGTTTATCATTTCATTTCTGTCACAAGTAGCCACAGGGCATTCTGTTTTCTGCGCTTGAGCCTTGACTGATTTTTTTTTTTTTTTTTGAGACGAAGTCTCCCTCTGTCTCCTAAGCTGGAGTGCAATGGTGTGATGTCAGCTCACTACAACCTCCACCTCCTGGGTTCAAGTGATTCTCCTGCTTCAGCCTCCTGAGTAGCTGGGATTACAGGTGTGCACCACCATGCCCAGCTAATTTTTGGATTTTTTTGTAGAGACGGATTTCACCATGATGGTCAGGCTGGTCTTGAACGCCTGACCTCATGATCCACCTGCCTCGGCCTCCCAAAGTGATATATCTTTTAACCTTGGTCACCTCCAGTCCTTTTGTCCTGTGACCTTCATTCAGGTCCCAGGCCTCCAGTTCCATGGGTTGTGTTGGAATTTTTTTTTTTAAACAAAAGGTCTCACATATTTATTATTGAATCCAACCTAATGTGGTGACACTTTCCTCTTGGTCTGGTCAGATGATCATCAGGTGAGCTGTCTCATGTGCAATTCCTCATAGACCCAGGTGCTTCTTCTCCAGGGTCTCCCTGTGGAGTTGTACCTGCTTCGATGACCAGTTTCCATCCAAATCCACTGGGGAATGGAGCGGTTTTGCTTGTTTCTTGGCCAGGAATCGCTTAATCCTGGAAGGCTTGTGAGAAAACATGGCGAGAAACAGGTCAACCACACACCGTGATGGTGGAGAAGGGAAGAGCTGCGTACTTTCACTGCCATGGAATTTGGTCGTACATACTAAGAGATGTGGAGTCCCAGCCAGGACCTAGAAATATTCTCAATAGGTCCACTTACTTGGCAAACAGTCGAGGTGGAAAACAGTGACAATCCCGCAGCACAGAGAATCCAGCAGCTGGGAGAGGAGACGCCCTCCAGCCGAGCACCCGAGGCAGCCAAGAAGCCTGTGAAGCACGCCCTGGGGCTGACCACGGTGCTGTCACTCAGAGCCACTTCCTCCAGCTTCACACACCATCTTGATTTTTTTATTTTTTATTTTATATTTTGAGATGGAGCCTTGCTCTGTTGTCCAGGCTGGAGTGCAGTGGCATGATCTCCACTCACTGCAATCTCTGCCTCCCCAGTTCAAACGATGCTCATGCCTCAGCCTCCCGAGTAGCTGGGATTACAGATGTGGTGCCACCACGCCCAAGTAATTTGTGGGTTTTTTTTGTTTGTTTTTTGTTTTGAGACAGAGTTTCGCTCTTGTTGACCAGGCTGGAGTGTGATGGTGCGATCTTAGCTCGCTACAACCTTTGCCTCCTGGGTTCAAGCAATTCTCCTGCTTCAGCATCCAAAGTAGCTGGGGTTACAGGTGCCTGCCACCATGCCCCGCTCATTTTGTATTTTTAGTAGAGACGGGGTTTCTCCATGTTGGTCAGGCTAGTATCGAATTCCCAACCTCAGGTAATCTGACCACCTCAGCCTCCCAAAGTGCTGGGATTACAGGCGTGAGCCACCACGCCCAGACTAATTTGTGTATTTTTCGTAGAGACCGGGTTTTGCCATGTTGGCCAGGCTGGTCTGGAACTCCTGACCTCAGGTGATCCACCCACCCTGCCCTCCCAAAGCGCTGGGACTACAGGCAAGATTCCCTGCGCCTGGCCCCACACACAGTCTTTTATAACCGCATGGCCTTTTTGTTGGTTCACAGAGGGTGAGACGGGAGGTGTGGAAGTGAGAATGGCTGTGAGGGCAGGCATGCAGACACGGAGTAGGGACAGTTGACAGCCGGCAGGAAACTGAAAACTATAGAAACAAAAACTAAGTGCAGGAACTCAAAAGCACAACATGGGTGGGGCAGGGTCCGGAAGCACCACGGGGGCCCCTCCCTGCTCCCAAAGTCCTGAAATCACCACCACCTAGGCTCAGTCCTGAGGCGCCGTTAAAGCCAAGGCCTCAGATGCAGCCTGGAAAGGATGACCCGTGCGGGTAGGTGCAGCGAGCGAGGGAGCTTCCCTCCCGGGACCTCACAGGGACAGGAGGCTGAGACCTGGGGCTTTCCCTGCTTCGCTCAGCCACTCCTTAACAGTCAACCACATTTTCACAAGATTCTCCACGTTAGTGATTCTTTTTATTTTATTTTATTATTATTATCTTTTAGACAAGGTCTTGCTCTGTTGCCCAGGTTGAAGTGCTGTGGCATGATCCTGGCTCACTGCAGCCTCAGCCTCCCAGGCTCAAGTGACCTTCTCACTGAGTAGCTGTGACTACAGACACAAGTCTAGCCCGGCTAATTTTTGTAATTTTTTTTTTGTAAAGACAGGGTTTTATTATGTTGCCCAGGTTGGTCTCAAACTCCTGAGATCAAGTGACTTACCTTCCTTAGCCTCCCAAAGTGCTGGAATTACAGGTGCGAGCCACTGTGCCAGGCCCCTAGTGAGTGGTTTCAAATATATTTTTTATCATAAAGAAATACATATTAACTGGAAAATGTTGCAAAATTCTAAAAGGAAAGAAGGGAGCAGGGGAAGAAGGAAAGAATAAAAGAAAGAAGAAAGGAAAAGGAAGGAAGGAAGGAGAGAGAGATGAAGGCCAGTTACTTCTAATTTTGTGACACAGAGATAGACACTGTTAGCCTTTGGAGATTTCCTTCCCATCTTTCTTCCGTCTCTGTCTCAGGCTTGGGTGGTGTCTATATCTGAGTCATTCTATGTGAATACATTAAACACATTAAATTTTAAAAATAATGAGGCTACTTGCAGTGGCTCACACGTGTAATCCTACCACTTTGGGAGGCTGAAGCAGACGGATTACTTGAGCTCAGGAGTTCGAGACCAGCCTGGGCAACATGGTGAAACCCTGTCTCTACCAAAAAATACAAAAAATTAGCAATGCGTGGTGGCACATGTCTGTGGTCCCAGCTGCTAGAAAGGTTGAGGTGGGAGAATCGCTTGAGCCTGGGAGGTGGAGGTTGCAGTGAGCCGAGATGACGCCACTCCACTCCAGCCTGGGTGACAGAGTGGGACTTCTTCTCAAAAACAAAACAAAACACAAAAAACAAATAATGATATCCTGCTTTTCACTTAACCTTTTATTTGGTTTCTTTTGACTCCTCTCATCAGGATATTTGAAAAAACCAAAGCCAGTGGTACAGCGGCTCATATCTATCATGTCAGCACTTTGGGAGGATGAGGTTGAAGGATGACTTGAGCTTAGGAGTTTAAGACCAGCCTGGGCAACAAAGTGAGACCCCATCTCTACAAAAAATAAAAAATATTAGCTGGACGTGGTGGCATGCACCTGTGGTCCCAGCTACATGGGAGGCCGAGGCAGGAGGATCACTTGAGCCCAGGAGATTGAGGCTGCGGTGAGCTGTGTCCATGCCATTGCACTGCAACCTGGGCAACAGAGTGAGACTGTCTCAAAAAAAAAAGAAAGAAAGAAAGAAAGAAAAACCAAAATCCCAACTCAAACTCCAGTTGCTTGGCATCTTTCAGTGAGGATTTCTAGATTTTGTAATTAAAAATATAAGACACCCATTTAAATTTGAATTTCAGATAAACGACACCCTCCCAGGCAAACTGGGGACAGACTTACACTAAAAGACGATTTGTCGTGTGTCTGACATTCAAATGTAACTGGCCCATGTTTTGCCTGGTGACGCTCCGATCCGGTGCTGAGTGGCTTCAGATGCTGGGAGGTTGCTGGCTCCGGCTGCTGGCTCACACCTGGGGGTCTGAGTCTAGCAGATACTGGCTTGAGCCCCTCCTACCTGTCAGGCACCGGGCTGGCTGTTTTGTCCTCATTGTTTCACCTCACGAGAACTTCTTGAGCCCATATTGCAGAAACAGAAGAGAAGCTTCGGGCTTAGCAACCGTCCAGGATTTCTGGGCCGGAAAGAGGCTTGGAACCCAGATCTGACTGACTGGGGTCCCCCTTGCTGGGACGGAAAGAAAATTAGAAGGAAGCTAACCCAGGTGAGCAAGTGGGGCCAGAGAGGCCGTGAGCACACACCCTCCCCAGAGAGCCCCTCCCTAGGACACCCCCTCCCTAGAGTCCCCTCTGAGCCCTGGGGAGGCCTGGCCCCCACCCCAGCTGATGGAAAGCCCCTGACTGCCCTTGGGGTTCTGGGCTTTTGAATTGCTGGCAAGTGTCTCCTGAGCCCTCAGGGCTTATTTAAAAGGAGTTAAAGTGCCCCAGTCCCTGGTGGGAGAGGTTAAGTAGCAGGGGTGGAGGATTAAGTGCTGGCTTGGGGATGGGCGGAGTCTTTGGAAGGCTCTGGAGTTGGTTGCTCAGTCTCTCAGCTCTCATGTCTCCCGCAGACCCCCCCAACCCTTTCCCTCTGGTCCTCAGCAAGTTTATTTTTTTTTTTTTTTTTTTTTGAGATGGAGTCTCGCTGTGTCACCCAGGCTGGAGTGCAGTGGCGTGATCTCGGCTCACCACAGCCTCTGCTTCTTGGGTTCAAGCGATACCCCTGCCTCAGCCTCTGGAATAGCTAGGATTATAGGCATACACTAGGACGCCTGGCTAATTTTTTTTGTATTTTTAGTAGAGATGGGGCTTCACCATGTTAGCCAGGTTGGTCTTGAACTCCTGACCTCAGGTGATCTTCTCACCTCGCCCTCCCAAAATGCTGGGATTACAGGGGTGAGCCACCACCTCCAGTCTCAGCAGGGTTCTTAGACACAGATGTGCCCACGGATCCCTAGCAGAGGTAGAAACTGAGTGGGTCAGAAAGGCCTGGGACTCTGCATTCAAATAAGCACAAAAAGCTGTTCCCGACACTACCCCTGAAGTGCTGGCTTCTGAGACCCCACCATGTAGATCATCTTGAGAAAGGCGGCAGAGGTGACCCCTAAACCTCCTCTACCCCACCTCCTCCCCCCACTTCCCCTCCTTTTTCCCTCCCTCGCCCCCTCCTTCAGTTAGGTGCCTATCCCTTTCCTGGGGGCTGGAAGTCTCAGGAGAAGCACGGGCTGGGTGGGCCCCTCCGGTGGGCCCCTCCCAAGGACCAGGCAGCATCTGGAGGCCCGGCCTCTTCCTCCTTCCCAGCAACTCCTGAGCAGGGAGGTGGAGAGGTCCACTCCTTCGGCCCCTGCCCGTCCCACCCTCTCCCCTCGGGCACAGGCCCAGGGCCCCGGCGTGTCAGCCTTGGGGGCACAGGGAAGGAAGGGCCTTCATTAGCCTAAGAGACAGAGTAGCCACATAGTTCAGCTCCAGCCAGGGGCCAGCCTGGGACACAGGGGACTGGGCTCTGTCCTCTGGGACCACACATCTTGGACAGGCTGCAGCAGCCCCAGGCTTTTATTACGGGGCCTTGAATTGAATTGAGCTGGGTCCCTGCAGGCAGTGAGGGGAGTGAGGGGTTTGCTGAGTGCTCAGAGCCACTCCCCGTTGGCTGCTGGGCTGGGAAGGAGTTTCTGGGGTGAGTGAGGAGCAGGAGACCAGCCAACCAGCACCGTAGCGGCCCCCAGATGGGCATGAGAGGCCAGGACAGGAGTTAGCTCGGGTGCAACAGCATTGCTTGGGGCCTCAGCGGTGGGTGGGAGGTGGATTTGGGCTGAGCTGGGGAGGCCAGGAAGGTCTCCGATCCTTCATGGGTGCCTGGGCACTACAGGAGGGATGAGGATGTGCCATCTGCCACTGGCACGGAGCGGAGGCCTCGATGCAGCAAGAGGGATCTGGGCAGGGTCTGGGGGGCGGGACTTGCTTCCTGGAACACATGTTTCCAGAAGTCTCCTTGCAGACTGACGGGGTCGCAGGTGCGTTCAGAGGCAGCTCCCCTTGGTCCCACTCGGGCTGAAGGAGGGACATGCAGGCTCCTGCAAGTGCAGCGTATGATGGCAGCCTGGCCTGGAGACTTCGGGAAGGGGCTGGTGGGTAGCTCACTCCTGAAGAAGTCAGGCTTCCCGCAGGTGGTGAGCTGGGCCCACGCGGCCTTCGCCCCTCGGGCCTGTGCAAGCCCCTCCTTGGTTCCAGCGTCTGTTGTTGCTGTCCTGATGACCTCCATACGTTTTGAGCACGGGGCCCGCACGCCCCTTTTGCACCCTCCACATGTTTTGAACACAGGGCCCGCACGCCCCTTTTGCACCCTCCACTCATTTTGAACACGGGGCCCGCATGCTCCTTTTGCACCCTCCATACGTTTTGAACACGGGGCCCGCACACCCCTTTTGCACCCTCCATACATTTTGAACATGGGGCCCGCACGCTCCTTTTGCACCCTCCACACGTTTTGAACACAGGGCCCGCACGCCCCTTTTGCACCCTCCATACATTTTGAACATGGGGCCCGCACGCTCCTTTTGCACCCTCCACACGTTTTGAACACGGGGCCCGCACGCTCCTTTTGCACCCTCCACACGTTTTGAACGTGGGGCCTGAACTCTCCTTTTGCACCCTCCATACATTTTGAACACGGGGCCCGCATGCTTTTGCACTGGGCCTGCAGATTCTGCCTGCTGTGTGCCGGGGAGGCACCTGTTTCACCTGCAGAGGCCAAGTGCGCCTGGCAGGTGGTGCTTCTCGCAGAGGGAGGGGCTGAGTGGGGGGGGCTTGTGTCCTTCCTCCACAAGCACTGGTCCCACCACCAGCTGGAGCGGGGCCTAATGTGTGCCCAGGGAAGACTGCCCAGTGGAGGGAAAGAGAGGTTAGGGCATGGACAGTCCAAAGACCAAATGAGCCTGAAGCCATCGGGGTAGAGGCAGAGTGCGCCCAGGGCATCAGGAGCTCAGAGGAGGGTGTGGGAGGAGGCAGAACCCCACTGGCCTCTGAGATCCCCACTTTTCACCCTGTGAGCCCCTTTCACACCTGGGAAGGAGACAGAGAGAGCCAGGAGGACCAGGAGCCTGGAGGAGGGGTAGGGAGGAGGCAGAACCCTACTACCCTTGGCGATCCCCGCTTTTTACCTGGTGAGCCCCTTTCACACCCAGGGCTTCCTTTACTGCATTTTCTCCCATTTCACAGTGGGAGAAACAGATGCTCAGAGGGTTCTGGTTAGGAACCCCAAAAATGAGTATGTGGCTGGTTAGAGCAGAAAGGCAGGCTGCTGCTTCCAGGAAGTCCTTCCACAGGCCCAGGTGGAATCTCAGATTCCCGTTTCTAAAAACTCCTGGTTTGGAGACTTCTGTATGAAGCCTTTGCCCAAGGCCACCCCCTGGAAGATACAGGAGGGATGGGAACATGCCCATCTGCCTCTAGCATTTGGTTCCAGCCCCATCACAGCACAGCTGCTTTCGTAACACAGGGGAGGGACTTGCTGTGCCAGCAGCAGACAGACAGACAGACGGACAGACGGGGCGGCAGGACTGGAGTGAGTGCAGTCAGGAGGCAGTTTGGGTTTGGTTTCGTTTCTTTCTTTTCTTTTCTTTTTTAAACACCAGCTTGAAAGCCTGAACTAGATTTTATTTATTTATTTATTTGAGGCAGAGTCTTGTTGTGTCACTCCCACCTTAGCCTCACAAGTAGATGGGACCGCAGGCACATGCCGCCTTGCCTGGCTAATTTCATTTATCTTCCCTCCCCTCCCTCTTCCCTCCAGTTCCCCTCCCCTCCCCTCCCTCTCCCAGTTCCCCTCCCCTCCCCTCCCCTCCCCTCCCCTCCCCTCCCCTGCCCTTCCCTCCTCTCCCCCTCCCTCCCCTCCCTTCCCCTCCACTCCCCTCCCCTTCCCTCCCCTCCCCTCCCCTTCCCTCCCCTCCCCTCCCCTCCAGTTCCCCTCCCCTCCCATCCCCTCCCCTCCAGTCCCCTTCCCTCCCCTTCACTTTGTTGCACAGGCTGGTGTCAAACTCTTGGGCTCAAGCAATCTGCTTACCTCAGCCTCCCAAAGTGCTGAGTAGATTTTGTTTTAAATTAACATTTTAATGTTGAGATAATTGCTTATTTACATGTCGTTGCTGTAAGAAGGAATATGGAAGGATCTGTGTCTCCTAACCCAGAGTCCCACCCGTGGAGCTGTCTTGTAAGACTAGAGCACAACGTGACAACCGAGACACGGATATCGATATAGTGAGCCAACCTTGCTGACATTTCCCTTTCGCTCTTACACATCTGTGTGCATTTCCTTTCTGCAGTTCTGTGACTGCGTGGCTTCTGGCATCACCACAGCAGTCACGATGCTGAAGGCTGCGGCATTGTGAGGACCCCTGGGCTGCTCTTTGCAATTGCAGTGACCTTCTTCCTCCTCCTAAGCTGTCTCCACGTCTCCAAGTCTGTTATTTCAAGAATCGTATATAAATGGAATCATACACCTTGTAACCTTTTGGGAGTGGCTTTTTCCCTCAGAATCATTCCCTGGAGACTCCTGCAAGGTCTTGTGTGGCCCAGCCAGGGCTTCTTGTTTTCCATCCATCCCTGACACGGAGGCACCACAGCCTGTTTAGCATCTGTCCACTGAAGGTCACCTAAGTGCTTCCAGTTTTTGGCTGTTATGAACAAGCTGCTGTGAACACTCGTATACAGGTTTTTTTATTTTTTATTTTTATTTTTTAGAGATAGGGTCTTGCTCTGTCACCCAGGCTGGAGTGCAAGGGCACAATGACAGCTCACTATAGCCTCAAACTCCCAGGTTCAAGCGATCCTCCCCCTTCAGCCTCCTAAGTGGCTAGGACTACAAGGGTGGGACTGCCACCACACCCTAATGTTTAATTTTAATTTTAATTTTTTGTAGAGACAGGGTCTTGCCATGTTGCCGAGGCCGACCACGAACTCCTGGCTAAGTAATCCTCCCACCTCAGCCTCCCAAGGTGTCGGAACTACAGGCGTCACCCACTACACCCAGCCTTGTGTATAGATTTTGACGTGAACAAAAGCTTTCATTTCTCTGGGATAAATGAGCGCAGTTGCTGAATCTTATGGCAACTGTGTGAGCAGTTTTATAAGAAATTGCCAAATTGTTTTCCAGAGGGGCTGGACCATGTGACAGGCCCAGCAGCAGTTTCTTTTTCTTTTACTTTTTTTTTTGAGACAGAGTCTCACTCTGTTGCCCAGGCTGGACTGCAATGGCATGATCTCTGCTCACTGCAACCTCCGCCTCCTGGGTTCAGGTGATTCTACTGTCTCAGCCTTCCGAGTAGCTGGGATTACAGGCACCTACCATCATGCCTGGCTAATTTTTGTATTTTTATAGAGTTGGGGTTTCACCATGTTGGCCAGGCTAGTTTCGAACTCCTGACCTCAGGTCATCTGCCCACCTTGGCCTCCGAAAGTGCCAGGATTACAGGTGCGAGCCACTGCGCCCGGCACCCAGTAGCAGTTTCTGAGTGATCCCATTTCTCTGCATGCCCACCAGCATGCCCACTATTTTTAGTGGCAACTATTTTTAATTTCTGATAGGTGTTTGTGGCATCTCACCGTGGTTCTAATTTGCGTTCCCCCGATAGCTCGTGGTATTAGACATCTTTTCATGTGCTCATTTGCCATGTGTATCTTCTCTTTGGTGAAATATCACCATTGAATTTGAAGTGAGTTTCTTGTAAACAGTGTCTGGTTGGGTTATTTTTCGAAAAAATAGACTGCCAATCTCTGCTTTCTACTTGGTGTGTTTAATTTACCTTTAAGGTAAATTATCAATATGTTAGGACTTGAGCCTGCCATTTAAGTATTTGTTTCCTCTGTGATTTCTCGCTTTTCTGTGGATTACTTGAGCCTTAGGATTGGGATTCCAACTTGGTTTATTTATAGGGAGGTAGAGTGCATTTATTTGTATCACTCCCCTAGTGGCCGCTCTGGAGATTACAATGTACCTTGGTAACATTTCACCACCTGCTGAAACCCCCAGCTTTCTATACCAGCTGAGAGCCTGTGGGCATGTTACGCAGCATCTCTGAACCTTGTGCTCCTTCTCTGTGACATGTAGATTGCTAAACCCACCTCACAGGGCTGTGAATGTGGAAGCCTTACTTCCACGCAGACTCTTTAACCTTTCCCCCTTTTATTTTCATTTTACATTATTTTTGAGACAGGGTCTCACTTTGTTGCCCAGGCTGGAGTGCACTGGCACAATCATGGCTCACTGCAGCCTCAACTACCTGGGTGCAAGGGATCCCCCCGCCTCAGCTGCCTGAGTAACTAGGACTACAGACACATGCCACCACGCCTAGCCAATTTGTTTACTTATTTACTGTGGAGACAGGGTCTCGCTATGTTGCCTAGGCTGGTCTTGAACACGTGGGCTCAAACGATCCTCATGCTTCAGTCTCCCAAAGCACTGGGATTACAGGTGTGAGCCACTGCATCCACCCCCCACCCTTTTAAATATCACTGTCTTGAATATCAGACAGTGTTAGAATTTTGGCTTTAATCATTAAATATGATTTATAAAGCTCATGAGAAGGATCATCTATCGCAGAGTCCATCTATTGCTCCAGGATTCCATTTTATTTTATTTATTATTATTATTATTATTTGAAATGGAGTCTCTCCCTCTCACCCAGGCTGGAGTACAGTGGCTAGATCTCAGCTCAGTGTATCCTCCACCTCCCAGGTTCCAGCAGTTCTCCTGCCTCAACCTCCTGGGTAGCTGAGATTACAGGCATGAGCTGCCACACCCAGCTAATTTTTGTATTTTTAGTAGAGACAGGGTTTCACCGTGTTGGCCAGGCTGGTCTTGAACTCCTGACCTCAGGTGATCCACCCACCTCGGCCTTTCAAAGTGCTAGGATTACAGGTGTAAGCCACGGTGCCCGTCCTTTATTTTAAAAATCATTTTATTTCTGTTTGAAAAACTTCCTTTAGCTGTTCTCTAAGGGCAGATCTGCTAGCGACAAATTCATTCAGGAAAAAAAAGATTTTCTATTATTTCATTTGTTTCAAGAGAACTTGTAATTGCTGTTGAAATATTTTTAAGCCACTTTAAAATCTGAGAATGTCTTTATTTCCCTTCATTCCTGAAGGGTGGCTTTGCCAGACATGATTCACTGTTGGGAATGCTTCCTCTGCAGTACTTGCAAACTGCCACCTTCACCTGGCCTCCGCTGATGAGAAATCTATCATTTGAGTCAGTTCTTCCGCAGGGAATGTATCATTTTGTTCTGGCTGCTTTCAAGACTTTTTTTCCTTTCGTTTTCAGAAGTTTAATTATCAGGTGTCTCAGCATGGATTTCTTTGGGTAACTATTTGGAGTTTGCTCAGCTTCTTGAATCTGTATGTTTGTCGTCTGGCAAATTTGGGAAGTTTTCAGCTACTCATTCTTTTAATACTCTTTCAGCCTCTCTCTCTTCTTCTTTTTTTTTTTTTTTGAACAGATTCTCGCTCTGTCACTCAGACAGGAGTGCAGTGGCGCCATCTTGGCTCACTGCAAGCTCTGCCTCCTGACTTCAAGTGATTCTCCTGTCTCAGTCTCCAAGTAACTGGGATTATAGGTGGACCCCACTTTGCCCAGCTAATTTTTGTATTTTTAGTAGAGACGGGGTTTCACCGTGTTGGCCAGGCTGGTCTTGAACTCCTGACCTCAGGTGATCCACCCACCTCGGCCTCTCAAAGTGCTAGGATTACAAGCCTGAGCCACCACTCACTCTCAGCCTCTTTCTTTTTCTCCTCTGTTTCTCGGTGACTGCAATAATATGTGTTTTGGATCTTCTGTTCCATTGTTCCATATTGCCCGAGGTGCTGTTCTTTCTCCCTGCACTGGTACACTTTCTGTTGCTCAATTTAGGTAAATTGTTTTAATCTGCTCTGAGGTTTACTGATTCTGTCCTCTGTTACCCCATTCTACCATGGAGTCTGTTCATTTCTGTAATTTGTATCCTATTCTTGTTGATAACTATTTGCTGAGATTTTCTGTTTTTTCATTTGTTTCAAGATAACTTATAATTGCTTGCTAAAGCACTTTTCTTTTCTTTTTTTTAAGATGGAGTTTCCCTCTGGCCCGGGCTGGAGTGCAGTGGCACAATCTCAGCTCACTGCAACCCCTCCACATCCCAGCTTCAAGTGATTCTCCTACCTCAGCCTCCTGAGTAGCTGGGATTACAGGCCTGCAACACCATGCCTGGCTACTTTTTGTATTTTTCGTAGAGACGAGGTTTCACCATGTTGGTCAGGCTGATCTCGAACTCCTGACGTTGTGATCCACCGGCCTTGGACTCCCAAAGTGCTGGGATTACAGGCTGAGCCCCCGCACCCAGCCAAGCATTTTTGTGCTGCTTAAAGTCCTGGCAGATTATTCCTACATCTGATTTATCCCAGTGTTGGTTGTCTTTTCTCATTCAAACTGTGGCCTTCTCAGGCCTTAGTATGATGAACGAGTTTTTTTAATTGTGTCCTGGACATTTAAGCTGTTACATTAGGAGGCTCTGGGCTCTCGTCAAATCTTTTGGCCAGTGTGGTGGCTCACACTTGTAATCTGAGCACTTTGGGAGGCTGAGGCAGAAGGATCAACTGACTGATCCTTGAACCCAGGAGTTGCAGACCAGTCTGGGCAGCATAGTGAGACCCTCATCTCTACAAAAAATTTTAAAAATTAGCCAGGCGTGGTGGCACCTATTTGTAGTCCCAGCTATTCGGGAGGCTGAAGTGAGAGGACCACTTGAGCCTAGGAGGTTGAGGTTGCAGTGAGCTGTGATCATTCCACTGCACTCCAGCCTGGGCCATGAGTGAGACCCGGTCTCTAAAATTATAATAATAAAATAAATTAATTAAAATAAGTCTTTTAGTAGGCAGCCATGCTGCTTAGGCTTAGCATGTGGGTCCTGCCTTACTGTTATGGGCTGCGGTTTCCATGACAACCTAATTAGCAGAACCTTTTCGGTGTTAGTTTGGTTTGCTTGGTTAATCTGGTGCCACTGGGGCTGCTGCTGGTCCCTGCTGGTTCTGCTTCGGTGGCAGGAGTGTCTGTGGGTCAGGCTGTCTGGTGCTTCTAGGTGGGTGAAGGGAGTCTCTGGCCCAGAGGGACAGAGAAGACAAAGCTTCCTCCTGCAGGTGACCCCCGCCCCTGGCGTCTCTCGGTGGGGGCGGGGAGCCTTCTCCTGCCAAGTCTGGGGAGCGGAGTGATGGGGTGGGTACCTGCTCGTTCTCTTGCTGATGCCACCAGCTCACCATGCGTTGTGGGTGGGACTCCCATTTGATCTGAGGACAGAGAGGACTCTGTCTGGTTTGTCTGTTTTTGCTGGGCCTGGGTTCCCTTCCTTCACAAGGTGGAGGGCCATGGTGCTCTGCCTCACCCGGGCACTCAGTTTACTGTCTCTGTCCATCTCTGCATTCCCCTTGGGTTGTATCGTATGTTATTTCCAGGGCTGATGGTTGTGCTTCAAGGGGAGGAG